ATAATATTGTCCACGTATAGTATAGTAGCAGCTGCTTTTTATTCTTTTTTTTTACTTTTAGTTCAGTAGTTAATTAATTTCTGTAGCATTATAATATTTTTATACAGTAATCACGAAAGACTTCATAAAAACTGAAATAAAACTGTGCATGATGGAGGAAAAAATTTAAATAGTTTTGGGATTCAGCATGGAGTAGAGAGACAATAAATTCAGTACTAATTTAAAAAGAAAAAGAAAAGGAGAAAAGAAAAACTTTTGCAAACAGAAATAACGTGTCCGCAAAAAGTCTTTAAGCGGCCCTTATTTTCAAAACTATTGGTTGTAGCCATATACTTCCTGCTACGAAAGTATTTTAAATAAGATAAATATTCATGTTTTGGCATTTTTAAATGTAAAAAATTCAATTTTGTAAATCTCACGATATCTTATATTTTATACGGTCCCCACACTATATAAAATACCGGGCTATGGGCCCCCGCACCAAGGCTATGGGTATGACACGCCTCCACTAAGAATGAATTTGTCTCTTAGGATTAATTTCATGAAAGGTGTCGCCTGAGTTCATCATACATTTCAAAAGCTTCTGAACACTGACTGGGTTACTGATATTTTGCACACACCCCTGATTGATCAGGTGCAGAAGTTAATTTTAGCAACTGCATATTTCTATGCACATCAAAAAAAAATTGATACAAAAGTTTCCAACTTAACACCAGCTGGTCTACTTGCTTACGCTTTCTTTTACAACTGATACAAATAAACTAAATATATTTACATACCAAAACACTCTATGTTGCACAAAACATTTTATTTATTGCCAAAAATTAAATAAATCTCCTTTGATAAGAACCTAAAAAAAATATAACCGTCTAAATAACCCTGGTTTTCACATCAACCATGACTTATCTTCCGCGGCCTGATGTCATACTCCTGGACGATGAGTAATTTTTAAATCCCATTTTTGCAGAGAGGGGGAGCCCAACGTGTTATTTTGAACTCCTGGATGTGGTTTTGGTAATATACCTCAAGGAATTATGATCCATAATGCTTTCCACCGTTCCCCCAAAAATCCATGTGTTGCTTTGTTGGTTTCTAGCTTTTTCTGGTATGCTTTTGTCTCCATTATCCCAGAGGAATTCTTTGTCTCGCTGGATAAAATCTTATTCTCTTTTCTTCTCTCCTAAACCGCAGATCTTTACATTAGCTTTCGCACTATAACATGCAGAGTGCGGCAGCGTTCATAGTAGGATATTACAATTACACCATAAGGCAGTAACTGTAATTTATTTATTACCTCTTATGTCAATTTAATAGTTAAAGGTGTGCCATTTACTAATGTGTAAGTCGTTGTCCATTGCGTGAATTACTTTTTGAATATGATGCCTGTCAAATGATGCCCCCTCTACACAACACATTCATCTAGGCGGCGTTGGAAGCTTGCCATAACTCGGCGTAACGTATTCCCTGGGACATTGCCGACGGCAGTTCTGATGCGATCCTTTAACTCAGGAATGGTGGCATAACGTGTTCGGAAAACCTTTTGCTTCAGGTGGCCCCAAAGGAAGAAAACATAAAAGATCAGGTGAGCGAGGCGGCTAGGAAATGTCACCAAAACGGGAAATTACTTTACCTGGAAATGTCTGTCGCAGTGGTCCTTCCATCCAGAACTTTTCCATGACGTCCCAAGTTTAAAAGTTGCCAAAATAGACGCTAGGTAGCAATAACAGAGTAGTTATTCTTGAAATAACTTTCAACAGCAAAGGTACGATGCTGTGCACTCCACCGATCCATATCACTGTCGTACTTGAAATGGCAGCTCATTAGTACACGAATGCAGCACGAGCTGATGCGCATTCAGGCAGTATGTCATTGTACTACGCAAGTCAAATTACGCTATGAATGCTGCCGCACCATGTATCTAGCATTTGTGGGGGATATCAAAACAGCTTCGATTAAAGACTTTGCCACTGTAAAATATGTCCTGATAAACAACATTTGCACTGCTTCCTTTAATTAATGCTAAGAATATTTTTGCACTTTCTTGTGGATGCAAAAATTCCTTTCAAATAATTTGCGACCTGTTTCTGGCTCTAAAACCTGCAATCTTATTTTCTTTCCGAACGGTTGCTTCACTACCCGAATCGATTAATTCATTGATATCTGTACGTTTACACTAACCTGCACTCTATCCAATTTGCAAAGTTCTTTTTTATTGATGCCGAGCGGTAAAGTCACTGAACGCTGGTAATTTGGACCGAGCTTCGAATCCCAGCGAAAGAACTAGCTTCATGGGCGTTTTCGTGGCTTTCCCTATGCATAATGTGTAAAGGAGCCAGTTTTCTTCAGGAAGTCCTCCACGAAGGCATCTCTCTCTACCTTTAGGCGAGGTATCTCTCGACAGCTTTGCCGTAATTAAATAAACCAAATCAAACCAAAGCTTTTTTATTGATTGTTCAGAAATTTTCTTTTCCAAACATCCTGCTTTGGCAACATTAACTCTATCAGTTTGGCTGACTTCGCCGTCATCTAATGCACGTGCTTTATTTGCGTTCGCAAAGTCATCCTTCGTTATTTTTATTTTAAGGGCAATCACATTTAAAATATTCCTCTGATTCATACTTGTAACATGCGAAAGTTTCTGAGGAGAGTCTAATTTCCCTCTTTTTGGAAATATTGAAGCCCGCTTGTTTGAGCTAAGTTTAGAGCTTTCTTTTCGCTTTACTTTAACCTTATCTGGTGATAATCCCACATTCTCTTTCCTACAATATTCTATCACCGAAGAAAAGATGTCGCATTAAATCCTTTGGTTTCAACCAACCTTCTTATTATTTAGCACCAAAGTGAGTAGCAGTTTCCGTATCGAGCGTTTCCATTTGTGGGTTGGCATCGTTCATTTATAATCGGATGACGCGACAAGCTGTGGGAGGAAATCTTTCACTTTTTCGATGACGAAGGCAGAGGATTCCGCCATTAAGACGATGACGCGATTCAAAGATGTTTGCTTGTAAAATGCGATTCCTTCTCTTCGTTTGTAAATAATCTCATCTATTTCCTTCTATGTATGTAATTACTTTGTAGTTTACAGCAACTATTCATGTTTCATTAAATATTCAAGTTATTTGTAAATTGGACTAGTTTATTAGCCCCTAGACAGCCACTTCGGAAGTAAGTTTACGAACATCATATTACTAGACAGTAAGTACCGATTCTACACATTAAAATATCAATAACTATGAGCTGCTTGATAATTTCCAGACACTTCGCTCCCCTTAATTCACAATAATAACTCCACATGGAATTTAATCTAGTGTGAAACTAAGTAAAATTTTCCTCGGGGTTCCTTTTCGACTGTATGAATATTTCCAGACAAGCTTTTGGTGACAGTTCATATACCCAAAGCACTGTAGTTTACAATGCTTCATAATCTTCATATTGTTTTTCCTCTAAATAAGTCAAAAGATACGAGAGCTTTTTTGCTAATAAACACATTAGCAGTTTAGATTTTAAGTTATCGCTACCTTTCCACTAAGGACAGCCTTTTCTAAACTATAGAAAAATAATTCTAACCCACCGGTTTTGTTGCAGTTTTCAAGTTTGCAATTTTATTTTAAGAATTTCGTCTAAAATTTTAACTTTGGAACTCTTTGCTGAACTTAAACTTTGCTTCCACTGAACTTTCAGCATTTAAGCTCCGGTTCTCAGCCTTAAATCTGAATCTTTCTAATTCTATACATTCGCATCTATCCATAACCCTCTTTGGAAACACCCATATTTTACTTTTCCTTACTTTCGGCTCGAAATTATAGATTTTCGGAAATTTTTTCAGAGAAATAAAGTTACTCTGAATTCAAAATAATGTAAAGACATGCTTTTTCTTCTATCCTCGGTAACAAATATAGCTTTCAGGCAAGTTAGAGTAACTTGCACAAGATAACAATAGAAGCATTCATTATTAAATGTATGATAATAGTCGACAAGAAGCTTCAATTTCTGTAATTCCTTTTTAAAATTCTAGTTTTAGTACATCATCATTTATCTTTCTTTCATGTATCATTTACCCATGGGTTCTATTTTTTTTATACAGAAATATTATTGTAAAATATCAGAATTTTTTTATACAACATGTATTCTAAGACTAACTTCTCTTTAATATATATATTTTAATAAACGGCAAAATAAACTGCAATTGTTAAACAAAATATAAAAATTAGGAAATAACACAATTATCTTCTGTGTAAAAAAAATCTTTCTCTAAAACTTTGCTTTTAATTTTTAAGAAATAAACATAGATGTAGTTCAGAGCTGTTACCTATTAAATTAGAAGTATAAGTATCATTGCATGTTTCTATTTTTAAATATAAATTTATTTGATCAAAAAAATTGAAAATGAAATATAGTCTTGTTGTTAGTTACTCTCACTACCCCGCAGCGTTATGCTTACCACATGTTGCTTTATTGAAAAATGCTTTCGCAGTGGGAAAGAATTCAATATTAAATTCTGTGCCTACATATAAAAAGTGATATATCACATTTATACAGAAATGGAAAAAGCTTGTTCAAGTACAAAAATAATATATACTAATAAGTTAAGTTAAACACCGTTTTCTTATTTCAGATAACTTCTGAATAATTTTCTTTGCAATGACACTACAGCTGCCGATTGATATTAAATACTTTATATGTCAAATAAAAACGAAAACGTAAATACTCTGTACATTTGTAGGATTTTCGTGCAAATTTTCCCTGATAATCCTATGAGGAGTGTCATGCAACTGCAGTGAAAATCATTACAAAAACACGAGTTTAAAACTATCACATGGTGTCAAATAATGAGATTTCAAATACATGTTTACAAATACCAATAAAGAATACAAGATACGCACTGAACTTAATAACATTAACAATAATTACCTCGCTATTTAGAATTATTTCCTTCTTATCATTTCTTTATTTTTTTTCTAACATGTATCTAGTGTTAATAAGATGATTCTCTTTCTTAGGAGTGTGCAAAATGCAGAGGTACAATGCTAAAAGGAGACGTCGCTGTTATAGCTCCAAAATTTGGAGAATCTGTAGCTTGGCATCCAGCATGTTTCTGTTGTAGTACATGTGATGAATTACTGGTTGATTTAACTCATTGTGTGAAAGATAGGAAACTTTATTGCGAAAGGCATTATGCAGAACAGATCAAACCCAGATGTGCAGCTTGTGATGAAGTAAGATTTTATTACATTCATTTCTTTGTAGGGGTTGCATGTGTTTCCTTGAATGAGTTGTCCCAAACTTCCTGATATCCGATGATGAAAATTTCAGTCTTGAGACTGATGTAATCTTTCACTGTTAGAGTAGAGATAGTGAAGTTCTCTGTTCACTTTAATATGTGAACTTGAAACATTAATCAAATAAAAATGTTACCTAGGCAAGTGCCCTGCCTACATTTCATTCCTCTAAATCAGGGTTTCTGAGTCAAGGATGAATTTCATACTTTCAGGAGGGAAATGCGATCAAACTTTTATTTACCTGTTAAGTATGTAGTTTTAGTGTGTGAACACGAAAAAAAAACTTATATTAATTATATGTTAACTTTTTTTTTTTTTGGTATTTATCAACATTTCCTATATATTTTCTTGTTTAATTTTAAAACGCATTCAAAATTAATCTAAATATAAACAAATGTATATGCATTTTTCGAGTTGGAAAAGAGAGGGAGTTAAAAATGATCATCTTGCACTAGTGAAAGGAGTACATGGGGCAAAAAAAGATTGAGAACACCTGTTCTAAACTGATTTCTCTTGGTTTGAAGACTGACTACTGACATCAAAGTTAATTTTCAAAGAATTCCACGCAACTAATTTTTAGGGTATTCTAACACCAGTTATTAGCTTTTAAATTTTCAAATAAAAACGCTTCATTTCAGTGTATCAAATGAATGGATACGTGATTCGCCAACGGCATTTCTTGCCTGTATCACATTTTATATAACGACCATGTGAAGGAGTTTTGAAAAGTAACACGTACGATGTTGTGTAGAAGGGGGAGGGAAGGATCGAATGGGAATGAATTGTTCGTGAGTTTTTCACATCTTGATTTTTCAATCAATCGTGTTACTACAGTAAAATTTCACTCTTGTATGCTTCATGAACAATCCTCAATTAGCCGAAATTTTAATTAATGTTACTCTTGTTGTTGGCCTGTTTCATATCCCTCTTGTTTCAGCTTTTCATATTTTAATCATATCGTAGAGTCATTAGGTTATTTTGAAGCAGGAGACGTGAAAAATGTGCAGTGCCCTCGTTGGAACTCGAACCCTGGACCTCTCGAATACGCCTCGAGTATGCTTCCAATTACGCTACAAAAAAGCATGCGAAAAGGAAGGAGAAAATAGCTTATAAATGCATTAGCCTATCGCTCGTTTTCTTGCTATCATATTCATCAGAAACAAAGTAAGACCTTGCTATGTTTAGAACATTACCTCTACCTTTAATAAAATGGTCTAAGACAGTCATGCTTTACAGCAGACATCGCAAGCAAAGCCGTAAAAGTTATATTTGGGACGAAAGTACTGCAATATATCATGATATTTTGAGAAAATCTCTCCCTTGATGCAACGTAAGAGGTTAAATTGATGTAAGATGACTTTTATGGAAAGCGTAACTCATAATGACGGAAAGCATAAAGGAATTTTCGTTTCCTACTGAATTATGAAAGGAAAATCCGTAAGGAAGATACTCATTAATTTCTTTGGCAAAAAGATATGGTATGCCATATCAAACAAAATGCGAATGTCTCAGTCTAGTTTCAATTCATCTTGAGAGATTTATTACCATTCAATGCATGTTTGATTTCATACAATGAACACTACAATTATTTTGGATCAAAACTAATTTTAAACTTACATTACATTAAACATATGGTTTCCTGAAGGATAATAAAGGAATTTCCTTTTTTATGTTATAAGGTATTTATTCCCGGCAAAGGCGTTGTTAATTTTTCATCTCTTCGGCCTCCAAAAAAAAAAAAAAAAAAATCCGAATATCTCTACAGTGGTGCCCGAACTAAAAGGGTAATGGATGATGATTTCTCCCCACCCAGGATTGGCGATTGGGTCCCCTAAAAATCCCATTCGCCCTTTAAAAGGGGGAGTATATAAGGTATTTCTCCCACCTTCTTGTCGTTCCTTCGTAAAGTGGTGGTCTGCACACTGGGCCGGTATTCCAGAGGTCCGCGTTCGATTCCCGGGGAAGGCGTTGTTAATTTTTCATCTCTCCGGCCACGAAAAATTAATCGTAATGTCTCTACAACGTCAATTTTATAAACCAAGCAAAAGAGGAGATTTTTAATTATCCTTCAAATAGTTTATCTAGATTTTAATATGTAATTATTATAGGGATATTTTAAACTTTCGCAAACAATATGGTATTTTAGGATAACCTGAATTGCATGCAGATAGATTTTCATGTTTTGCCTATTTAGCTTTGCAAAATTACTTTCAATTGTTACATCGCTTCACAGACAGCTGAATTGCTAAATGAGCACATAAGCATCAACAGCAACCGAAAGAGTAATATTATTTTGAATAAAATATTAATGGCTTGTCAGTTTCACAAAATAGTTGTAGAGTTCTCTGCAGTGGGTGCGTCAACAAATATTTAACAGCAACCTTATAAAGCTTTCAGATGGTGTACATCTATCACAAATGTCATGGTAATATGACGTAAAAGTCATTAGCTTCATGCATACCCGTGAAACAGAGTTTAAACCCTGGCCAATCAAGGAAAGTAAAATTATACATGCGGGAATGTGAAATGTCGGCTGTTATGCTAAACTGGCGTAAAGTTTAATAATCAGAACATTCAGACAAAATCTTTACATCAATTTCCGTGACTTAGCAATAACTGGCTGCTTAAGCAATGGTAGCTCGGCTTATGCCAGTCTTGACAGGTTGTCTAAACACTTCCTTACTAACAATTAATATCTGTTATAAACCTGTTTAACAACTTCCGGCTCAGAGAGGACAGTGTTTGGTAGTTAACAGTTTTTTCTTGTTCTCACCTACAAAAGGTCAAGTAAAATTTCATTTACCAAAAGCGCAGTAAATAGCTGACGAATTTTTCTCACGGCTATGTCAACTTCCCTCATCAATAGCTGAGACAAGTCGTCTGCGATGCCGTATAAGCTGTGCACAGTAAATCAGTTGACACACCCTGCAATTTAACCAGTTCTCTCGAGTGGTTGGTGATAGGGAAACAGGGGTAGAAGATCCGCGGATCAACCCCCCCCCGGGGAGTTCTCTCTCAAAATTCGAGCGGAGCTACACAGTTACTACGGTGGTAATACACATTGCGATCAATGGTGAAATTTTGGTTGTCCTGCCTACTTGAATCTGTACCTGTAGTTTAACTAAAGAAACGAAAGTCCAGAAGAACTTAAAATTGCTGAATTTAATTGGCTTGAATGGTATAAAATGATTAGCCATTATTACAACTATGTGTTTGAAGAAATTATAGAATAAATTAGAGCTAAGTGTTTAACAATTTACGAATTGAATTGCTTTCACTTTCGTTAATTTGTTAGTCTCAGTGTTATTAATGTTCTATCTGCGTCTTTTCTTATACAAGAGTATAAAAATTCCCGAAAGTTTAAGCTTATATTCACACTTAAAGATGAGATATGGCAATGGCATTATTATGTATGAATCATCATTGATACTGAATATACCAATTTGTCTAATATTTATAATAAATATGGGAGGAAATTAAAGACAAAGAAAACAGAGTTAAAGAGCACAAAACTTTATTGCTGAATCCCAATACTGGAATGTTATGATGGACGTTTTTCCTTTCTTCCTAGTAATGCATGTTCATTTATCCTAAATTTTAAAGCTTGTGGGGAATTGTACTGTATGGCATATGAAAACTTCATTCAATCTCGTAAGTGAAAATCGAGTATTTAGTCTTTCATATAAGAGAATTTAAGTTTATTAACCAGTTTAAAAATAGCAGAGACCGATACTGTTTAAAACATTTGAAAATGAGAAGATTAAGTTTAGAAATAAAAAGAGAAAAATGTAGGAAATGAGAGATAGCCGTAAGTAAGGGCCGTATTACATATTCTAAACGTTTTGGAAGAGCAACTGTTTAGAACATTTTTTCTGCTTTGCAATGCAGAACAGTTTGCAAAACCCTGCGTAGAGACTATTTAGCAGGAGATAAATGCAAATACGCTGTGACCTGTAATGAAGCATTGTGTGCAAGTTGTTGCAAGTGATTGCAACAAAAAGGGTCTATTTATTATCGAAAACGAAGATAAAGAAGTGTACAATCCTGGTTCCGTCAATGCAAAGAAAAATTTCAATAAGGTATGTATCGCATGATTCTCTTACAATGGGAAATTAAATATAAGAGTGGATAAAAAGGGTTAAAACCAACACAGTGCATTATTAAGAGAAAGACTTACGTCGGATATAAACAGAAGAAATTTCATTTCTTTAATTCGATGACTTTCAAAGAGTAAGACTTCATCAAGACAAAGCAGCAAGTCATAGTTGAAAAGATGCTCTACATTATTTGAAAAAGGAAAGAATGTTACAGGTATTGCAGACGTTCCTTTTTAACGTATGCCTACAAAGTTCCCTGACATTTCACCTATAGATTATTATGCCTTCGGTCTCTTGAAAAGAGCTCTAAGGACAAACCACCACGATTGATGGACTTTGGAAAGTAGCGATAGAGGAATGGAAATCAACAACATTGGAAATTATGCGAAAAACTCTTCTGTCATTGAAATCGTGATGCAGACTCCAAAATTAACAAAACTGCAGACTAGTCAAGAAAAATATTCTTTACATTTTTAAACATTAATTAGACGGCTTCGAAATCGTTCTAAAAAATGCTAACATTTTCTGTAATATTGATTGATATTCATGATTAATGTATCTCTTTATTTGCTTTAACCAAACCTTCCGTTTTTATGATAAAACGACCATTATGAACCATCGAAAATGAAGTACAATAGCAGTTGTCTATAAATTCTTTGATACATTTATTGAAAATATATGTACTTAACGCCCTAGTGTGCTTTACCATAATCAAATAATCCAATCCGATTTGCATACGTAATTCCCTATTATCAATTTATTTCTTGAAATGTAAAAAGAGAAACCCAATTACTTAATTTTTCTAGTAATTGTTGCTTTCAAGCTAATAGAATTTCACCT